CCACCCCAGGAGACCTGGCCCCGTGTCGCTGAAGCACCTTTTGCCAGCAGAAAGTTTCAGCTTTTCTGGAAAGCTGAGGTAGCATGGACAGAAGTGCACCTTGTATTCCCGACGAATTGAGCGCGTATTAAAACCAAGACCCCGTGAAAGGTCTCGCAGAGCCAAGGCTTTTTGTGTCCTCAGCTTTCCGAGTTTCATTGCAAAATGACTCGCAGGATTTTGCCCGGGTTGTTGCGTGTCATTGAACATGTTAAGAAGGCATGGTGGTTGACAGGAAGCTTTATCGGTTCCAATTCTTGTGAATCTTGTGGAGAATCAGGTGTTTCCCATCAAAAATGTGTATTGAAATCACTGGATGTTGTGGGAATGACTCGAAAGTGTCATTTTAACTTTTTCTTTGCTTTGCTTCTACCTTTGAATTTTGCATGCGCTCTTCTGCACATCAAAATACATGTTCTGTCAGACTTCACTGTTGTGAGTTGGTAATGTTAAGAAGTACTGAATATGAGGACTACTACTTCCCTTGTGTAAGGACTAGCAAGATTGGGACCTTAATTTAGAAGTATGACAGGATAATGAATTACAGAGATTTTAGGTGAAGACTGTTCCTTTTCAACAGAATACAGCAGCATCTTCATCTGGAACTTAAATACTCCCTTTTAAGTCTGTTGAATACTTATTGAAGCTGACATTCAAAGCCACGTGTGCAGTGGAATTGTTAGCTAAAAATAGAGGAAAATCTCAAAAACGTGGTTGGATCAAGCAGAGGTGCTTCATTGGCTTGACCCTTCAATTCTCTACCAAATAGAGTGAATCAAAGGAGTTATTTTTACAAAGGGAGTATTTGTTTCTTACAACTGAGACTGCAGCAGAAATAATTGAAGTAGTAGTAGCTAATATTTTAATTACTGAGCTCTTATATCTTTATTATGTGTTTTGTTTAAGCATTTGGTAAAGAAAAAGACAAAGAGAAGAAGTTAGATGATGACAGCACCAGTACGACAGTCCCTCAGTCAGCTTTCTTGGGCCCGACATTGTGGGACAAGACACTGCCATACGATGGAGACACTTTCCAGTTGGAATACATGGACCTGGAAGAATTCCTCTCAGAAAATGGCATTCCACCCAGCCCAAACCAGCACGAGCATAGCCCACACCAGTCAGGTCTCCAGCAAGCTACCTCATCATCACCTTCTGTCATGGACCTCAGCAGCAGGGCTTCTACTTCAGTCCATCCAGGCATGGTGTCGCAGAACTGCATGCAGAGCCCGGTCAGACCAGGTAAATCAGACCTAAGAACTTCCTGTGGATTTTGGTGTCCCCGGTGTAAACCACTACTTCTCCCTGTACAGCTGACAGGCAGCTTAGAGAGGGCTGATGTGATTTTAGTCGCTCACACTCCAAAAAATAAAAATAATAGCTCTAGTTATTGCTAAGTTGCTCAGCAGGGATTTTTTGTTTAAATTATGTAAGGAAGCTGTGGGAATTCCAAGGAAACTTGTCTATCTTCTTTTCTTTGTTGATAGCCTAGCTATTAGCAAGTAAAAAGACCACAAACAGAATAGCAGTGCAGAGATGCCATGGTGTTACATGAACAGGGACGAGGACCATGAAAGTGGATATTCCTTTGGCCAATATTTGGTGCGAGAGCACAGGCGTGAGCAATTATTTTGAAGTTAAAACTTAAAGACAGCAGTTCCTATTTAAAATTTTGGCCATAATCTTATTCTCTGTTGAGCAAAGTAAAATTTTCACAGTACATGGGACAGGAACTGAATTTTGGAACTGCATTATTATAACCTTGCTTAAATTATCATAAACTGAGCGTAACTCTGATCGAAGTTAATAAATTACATCTATTGTCACCTTAAGCTGCAGGCAAAGAAAACGTCATGGAGTCCGAGGCCTGATTGTAATGCATGATTCAAACCCGTTTGATGTCAGTGGAAGTCTTCTGTTAGTTTATTAGCACTTGAAATCATCCTTTTAGAGACACTAGGACGACTCCAGAGTAACTGCTCTGGCTTGACACCAGCAGGGCTGAGATCATGGTCAGTGGAATAGTGTCAACATTGAAATTTGGAAAATACGGAGCTTTGCTTTTTTCTTTTTTTAAAAAAAGACTAGACCAAGGGTAGCTTATTTATTGTGCTCTTCTGCTTGCACAAGTTTTGCTAGAGCAAAGTGTGCTCTTGGGAGCAGGAAACCACTCCTCTCCCTTCTGCTTGATCGTTTGCCATGCTCAGCGTGCGAAATCATTGTCAGAATTGTCTGATAAGGAGGCAAAATAAATAAATAGAAGGACAAAAGTTGTGGAGCAGGATGAAATAGAAAAGTCTTACAAGTCTGCAACATTCCTTTCTCATTAAAAGGAAATAAAACACACACCACCCCCAAAACACCCCTAACCTGTCAACAGACTCTTGGCCCGACTCAGAAGTGTGTGTTTGGTTGTGAATTTCATTTACTTGCTTTAACTTTATGTGGATTTGACTTTGTTTTGTATTTCAGTTTCAAGGCATAATAACTTAACAGCCTTCCAAAGTTACAATGTATTTGGAGTTAGCAAGAGTAGAATATAAAAAACCACTTTCTGAGCCAGTTTTTAAAAATAGTGCATATATGCTACCCCATTTTCTGTCACATACGCACACATAAAATTAAAAGTAGATAATCTGTCCTCATTCTTTTTTCAGAGGAGCCTGGTTATGAGCCAGGCTTTTAACGATCACCTGTCAGAATTTATTTGTAATCAGCTGTCCGCATGACTTTTCAACTAATTGATTTTTTTTTTTAGGTTTTTTTCTGGTTTTTTTTTTTTTTTTTATTTTATTTTTTTCCTGAGCTGTTTGTAGCTCAGGGTTACAAACTTTGCTCACTAGAAACTCTCTCCACTTTTATACTGTTTAAAAACAAGTCATGTCTCTTGGGGTAGGATAAAACATCTACATTAGCAGTTACTTTTTCCCTGTGCCATCTTGCCTTAAGAATAATACAACTTTTTGGTTCAATGTTTGTTTTTGTTTTTTTTTTTAAGGGAACTCATTCTGTTTCTTAAAAAAAATATTTTATTACCCCCGCCCCCTTGCTGATAGCTACAATGACTTAATTAACAGTAGTGTGGTTTATCATCAGGTGGTTGAAATTTTTATCTGCTGTCATGTAAAAATCTTACATTGATAACCTGTTTCAGAGAGAAGATCATCTTAAAGTTTAGCATTCGAGCAAGTTTTAAAATAAGACAGTATGTATTTTAAAAAACAAATTTTTAGTAAGAGTAAAAATGAGCATTTAAAGTTGTCATAGAAGTGCCAAGGCAAATGTGCTGCTTTGAAATCCAAAAGTTAGTGTGGAGATAAATGTTAAAATCATTATAATGGAGCCTTCTAGTTAATATATCTGAAGATTTTTAAAATATATTTTTTAAACTGTCACACGAAGAAAGATTTTTTTTTTTAAATTGGTGTGAGGTACTGTTCCAGTATGCATAGCTGTTGTGATTTGTATTACTGTAATAAACCCAAGAACAAATAGTCGAAGTATACAATTTCAGTAAAAATTAACTCCATGTGATCTTACTGGTTTTGGGGAAAACTGAATTTTTTAGGTGATAGTAATTGTCCTAAAAATATTTCGGTGTTGTGTCCTCTGAATTTTGTCTTGCAATGGAAGCCTGTTTGAGCGTGTGAACTCTGGCTGAAGGCAGGGTCAAATCCTGTACTGCTGATGTCCCTACTTTAAATGGCTCCGCAGCATTTAGCATCAGCGTATCACGTGCAGTTGGTCAGAACTCTTATACCTGCATGTACTGTGTATGGGGGAGGATGTACACGTGCACGTGGAACACCAAATGTGATTCATGTGTGTACACGGTGTATCTCGGACATAGAGGGTCGATAGAAGAGTGGCATAAGAAGATTTCATTTCATGTGTGTATTGAAATACAAGCCTTATCTGTCTTTAGAAGCTAATGGTATTGCCTAAACATGTATTTTATACCATCTCTGGAAGAGATCTGGAAATCTGTGTTGGCATTCACTGAGAAGCGTCATCAGACTCAGCAGAGCTGAGCTGACCCTGACTGTAAATGTGACATTACAAACAACCTCACTGATGTTTGTTTTTTTTCTTAGAGGTAGAAAAAGAATGACAACAAAAAGGTTCCTTATAATTTTAACTTAATTCTGTACTTGCAGCTTGGATTGTCTGGTCGATGGAAAAATGTTTAGGGTCACCGGTTTGTCGTTTGTTCTCTGGACTATAGCAAACAATGAAGTGAGCACTTACTTTCCCATAAATTTCTGTTCAGGGAATGTATGTATAGCAAATACTGGTTTTCTTTCGAAGAGGAGAGACACAGGGTAATGGCTGTTGCAAGACTGGAATCTGATGTATTTCTTTTTCACAGTACTGATTTTGTTAATAAAAAATAGTATTTTTATTTTAGCATTGTAGACCACCATTCATTGTAATGTGTAGATGCATTAAAACTTCTTTTCTCTCTGGATGCTGGTGAGTTGGTTGAAATCTGTAGTCTTGCTCAGAAAAACAGGTTTTATAAAGCTGGGTTTTAAAGTAACCCGTTACTGCAAACATGTTTCCGTGGTTCTTCATCTGTCATATGCCTTGTGTTGTCTTTTGCCATTTTTTTTGTGGAATGTAAATCTCCATTTAACTGCGGAGTCCTTTGGGGAAATTTGGTGTACTTGTAGCTGTTATGTACAACGAGGTTCCTATTTTGCAGATAACTAGTTGGTGGTTGCTTTTACCTGGCTCTTTTCCCTCTGTAGCCCTTATTTGGGTGAATGAGGCAGCTACTGTAAAGGGTTTGAATACAGTGAAATAGAGTTCAGAAGCGTGGTCAAAGTCTGGTGGAAGACCCTAATTGGAAGGTTTGGGGGGTTTAGTGGTTTAAGTCTGTATTTTGTTTGCCACCAAAGCCTTGGACGTAAGCCTATGTCACAGGGCTGCTGCTGATGCAGTGATAACCCCTGTATTGCTACTGCCCTGCTCCTTAATGAGGATAGGGCTGTCAGAGGCTTTGAAAAAACCCCCTTGTTCCTTACATTCCTGTGACAGTGGTTTTCAGTCTGTGTTGCCTGGATGGCTGGGTGCCTTAGTCTACTTGCAAAGGATCTGCCAAGATTATTTGAGGAAAGGAAAAAAAAGAAAAACAGGCATTGTAATCTGCTGCAGAAATACAGCTGTGTGCAATATCTGCAAATCTTTGCTTTCATTTAAAAAAAAATAGGGGTACATTAATAAAAAAGCTGAAAACTGTTTCCATTTGAAGTGTACTTAAGCCTCCCACCCCCCAAGAACACGAAGATTTTATTGAATGCTGTGTCTTATTTATGCAGCTGAGATATTTCATCTAGAGCACGTGCCTTTTACATCTTACATAGATACTGAGCGGTAATGATTGACAGTAGGTGTGATTGGGTGGTTTTCAGCATTTTCTTTTTAACTCCTGTTTGTGATAGGCATGGCAGCCAACTGGGAGAGGTCTGTTCTTGCTCCATCCAGCCTCTTGGCTGTGTACTGGGGATGACTCGGTGGAGGGGGCAGCCCACAAAAGGGTGTGTGTGCAGCACTCCCTTTATTGCAGTCTTCCGTCCCCTGTGCTTCTTAACGTGACCTCCTCTTCCAGCACAGCCTTTGTAGTGTGAAGGGCAGCATTCCCAGCAGCCAGCTTGTATCTGGAATCCTCTCCTAAACTTTAATCATTGTTTACAAGCAGTTGGTAGGTGTTGCATGAGCCGCAGTTTGAGCCCCCTCTCTTAGAGCCGAAGGACTCTACCTGCAGCACCAAGAGGAGCTGGGAATTTCCTGACCTTTGGTCTCCCACGTGACAACATGGGAATGACCAGCTAAACTGTCAGGCAGGCTGGTACCGAGAGCTGCTCTTCACATTGACTCTCACGTGAGGCTCTGGAGGGCTGTTGCCTGCATGACCATGTGCTTTAGGCACGTGGCAGTCCCCTGTGCAGCCTGCTCAGCATGGCTTTTGCTGGAGCAGCAGGCGTGCACGCACGGCTGTGTGCTCCTGCCATTACCAGCCGATGCTGAAATTGCAGTGAAATGGAAAAGCTTTGCTCCGGACTGCCACGGCAAGGGAAATGCAGTATGTAGACAAGCCTCACAAAACTGCTTTCTGGATCAAAGGAAGATGCAAAATATATTCAGGCAAATATTAAAAATAGCCTGTCACATGACAACAGGGGAAAAAACTGCTGAACGAACAAGCCTTGTTAATGCTAGAAGCAAGAACACTGTGTCTC